GGATGAGGTAGAATGGGCAGGGGTTTGGTGACCTGCCTGTAAAACCTGGAGTGGGCATGAAGGTCACCAGGGTCACTGGACTTCCCAAAGAGATCAGAAGCGGGCGTTTGGCATGGGGGTCAGGCAGTGGGGCTCAGGAGCTTGCTCCCAAGGTGCCCACAGAAGCAGAACCAAGGGGCAGGGCAGAAAACCTGGGAACGGGGCACCAGGCAGAGTCTGGCAACCTCTGTTGGCTCTGAGGCATCACGGAAGACACCTGGGAGGTGCAGAATGGGTGTTGGAGTGAGCCACAGGCTGAAAGTCAGGCTGGGCAAGGGAAGCTTGGACAGAAGGTATGTAATGATGGGGTGACTCTTTTCTACCAAGGTGGAATAAATAAAGACTCATAGGAACAAACTGCCTTTTAATGTACGTAATCGCAGCTTCAGTTGCTTCAGTGGTTTCTGACGTCTACTCAAATAGAAGGTTGCAGGCTTCAGTCCTAGCTGGTTCTTTTTTTTTTTTTTTAATAGCTTACAAAATAAATATTATTTATTGTGTTTTATTTTTATCCTCAGGACTATTCATTAAAGTGTTCTTCACATTATTAGCAGAGAAACAAGAATATGAATTGAACAAAGAGAAGGAATACAAAGTTGAATTCTGATATATAGCAGCAAGACACCAAATGCTGTGTTGCATGGTGGCAGAAATACAAACCTCTCCACATCAATAGCAAGATCCGCTTTGATACCGTAACTTCAAGTACTGCCCCACGAGTATAAAGCTCGGTATCTTTTGTCTAATCCAGAATGCTTTTGAACTTTTAGGAGGTATGACTTTAATAGTAATTTGTTGACAGATTAGCTGCAGAGATTGCAAAGAGTTTATTTTGCAGAACTGGCAGGCTCCTATCAGTGTTCTCTTAAGGAAAAAAACACACATTGCTGTTTTGCAATTGCTTGCATTTATTGACAACCTGCGCTGAGCAGGCAGAATCGGAATGTTTGTATAATGTAAACCTATAGCTTGTCTGATGGCGTGTAGTGTACTTTTAGGTAGTGCATAGATTGCTTGATAAAAAGGGTTACAAGGTGACTGTTTATGACAAACTGCAGCGGTGATAGAAACGCAACTGGTACATGGAGAAACCAGGAGGAAGTTTATATAAAGAATTGTAGGGAAGTTTCTTTTCTTCACTTGGAGCTGAACGATACTGTAATTATGAAGTGTCACTTCAAGCTTTCTGAAGAGTTTAGATAAATACTAGTTTTGCCATGTGTCCACAAAGTAAGGAAAGAAGTAGGGTTTTTTTTCCCCTTGAAAAAAAAATGGCTGCTTAATATGTATTTCATTGCACCCTGCCTTGTAGTTTTTACACTTTTATTCCACTGAAGTGGAATAAAATATTCCACTATGGAAAGCCAGAACTTTGTTCATGTATAGGGGATAAAAAGAATTTTTGGTGTAGACATAAGAAATTTGGACTAGGTTCTGGTGTCTGTGCCCAAATCAATGATTTCTTCACAGTTGGTCTCGCTGCCTGCAGCTGGGGTATCGATGTGAAGATGCCACGGTTGGGCCCTCTGGCAGTAGTTGTTTTGAGAAATGCTGAGATGTGAAGTGTTAGATTGAGGGAAGCAAACTCCAGAGGGAATATGGGGTTTCTTCAGATTTGGTCCATGCCCAAAGATGAGGAAAATGTACAAGAAATGGGGGATTTGGTGTGTTGTTGAGGTGCTGCTTAAATTGGGTAGATCAGAAAGATTTGACTGGAAAGAATTCTGAATATATCGCAGTGTAAATTAATGTGGTTTGGTGTTGTGGTTTTTTTTTTTTTTTTTTAAATAGTTTGGTGAATT